GAACATTTCTTTTTTTTGCTTTTTATTTCTATTTTTTAAGAAATTACTTTTTAAATTCAGGTCTGCTAATATTTATATAAAATGTTTACATTGTTCTTAAGTTAAATTTACAAGGAAAATATTTTAGTGGAAGCCCATCTCAACCTATTCCTTCCTGTTTCATGCATAATGACTTTTTAAAGTTTTGCTTTAAATCTTCTAATTTTTAATATAAGTGAATATGGCTTATATATATTCATATTTCTTTTTATTAGATGAACAAAACCATGTAGTACACATTTTTCTCTACTTTCTATTTTCATTTAATAGTGTATCCTATGATCATACCCTGTATTATATAGAGATCATTCTCATTCTCTTTTAAAGCTGTATAGTACTCCCTACAGCATCAGCTTTAAATGTGTCATGATTTAAATTTAATTTTTAGTTTATTTTTTATTTTACACTGGAAACATAATTGATTATAGATGTTTATAAGGTACAGAGTTGAATATCACTATTTGTGTAAAATATGTGATGATCAAGTCAGTATCATTAGCATGTTCATCATTACAAATCGTGATTATTTTTTGTGTCCATTACCCACTTTCTCACTAATCCTCTTTCCACTCCCCCTTTCCTACCTCTGTTGACCATAAATCTGTTCTCTCCTTCACTGTATCATTGTGGCTGTTTGTTTTTTTTCTTTCTTAGCTCCCCCTTATGAGTGAATACATGCAGTATTTCTCTTCCTGTGCCTGGCTTACTTCACTTAACATAATTTCCCCCAAGCTCATCCATTTTGCTACGAATGGCAGAATTTCATTCTTTTTTATGGCTGAGTAGTGTTTCTTTGTGTATATATACCACATTTTCTTTATCCAGTTGTCCATCCATGGACATTTAAGTTGGTTCTAGATCTTGGCTATTGTAAATAGAGCTGTGATGAACAAGGGAGTACACATATCCCTTTGACATGATGATTTCCATTCCTTTGGATATAAACCCGGTAGTAGGATTGCTGGTTCATATGGCAGTTCTGTCTGTAGTTGTTTGAGAACTCTACATACTTGGTTCCATAACGGCTGAACTAATTTATGTTCCCACCAACCATATAGAAAAGTTCCCCATTCTCCGCATACTCACCAGCATTTGTCATTTTCTGTCTTTATAATAATAGCCACTCTAACCAAGGTGAGATTATATCTCAGTGAGGTTTTGATTTGCATATCCCTGATGCTGAGTTGAGTATTTTTTCATGTACCTGTTGGCCATTTGTATATCTTCCTTTAAGAAATGCATATTCATCTCCTTTGCACATTTTTTAATTAGGTTATTTGTTTTCTTACTGTTAACTTGTTTGAGTACCTTCTATATTCTGGATATGAATTCCATGCCACATGTGTAGTTTGCAAATATTTTCTCCCATCTTGCAGGTTATCTTTTCACTCAGTTGTTTCCTTTGCTGTGCAGAAGCTTTTTAGTCTGATATAATCCCGTTTGTTTATTTTTTCCTTTGTTGCTTGTGCTTTTGAGGTCAAATTCATAAAGTCTTTGCCAAGTTCTACTTCCTGAAGTGTTTCCCTTATGCTTTCTTCTAGGAGTTGTATGGTTTTAGGACTTATGCTTATGTCTGTAATCCATTTTGAGGTGATTTTGGTATATGGTGAGGTGTATATGGATTTGGTATATGGATCTAATTTCATTCTTCTACTCATGAATATTGAGTTTTCCCAGCATCATTTACTGAAGAGACTGTCCTTTCCCCAGCGTATGTTCTTGATTCTATTGCCAAAGATTAGTTCTCTGTAAGTACATGTGTTGATTTCCTGTTCTCTATTCTGTTCCATTGATCTATATGTCAATATTTTATGCCACTCCCATGCTGTTTTGGTTATTATAGCTTTGTGGTATATTTTAATGTCAGATAGTGTAATGCTTCTAGTTATTTTATTTATTTATTTATTTATTTATTTATTTATTTATTTATTTTTTGCACAGGATTGCTTTGGATATTTGAGGTCGTTGTTAATCCATATAAATGTTAGGGTTGGT